GAGTCGTGGTGTGTCTTCCGGTTCGGAGCCGGGCCTGCTGCGGCCCGGCCGCGGCGCGTCGGTGCCGGTTGGTAGCGGCGAGCCCCGAGGTGTGGGCCGGGGCACGTGCGTGGCCTGCTGTGTCGCCATGCTGCTGGTCGGTAAGAGGAGTCCTAGGCTTTAACAGTAGCGTAACATTGTGCTTTTTCTAAGGTGTTAAAGGGGTGCTGGTGATTGTGCTCAGCTATTAGTCTTGTGGCTGTTCTTGTCTTAGAGCATTAGTGAAGCAGTAACACATAGGTTTGTTAAGGAAATTTGCATCATGCTGTTGTAGTGCTTGGGCTTGTAATCCATGTAGCTCGTTGAAAGCTGTTTCAGCTTTTCAGAATGATGGAGGTATGTATGTTGCTGTGTTTGGATGCTGAGGGCGAGTCTGTTATCAGTTGATGTGTACTCAAAAGTACATATTGAAGTGTATTTTATAGGGATGTTATCTGTAGCCCAGGACCAGTCCACTTAGGTTATGAGTTCACTGTTGGCATCTGAGAGACTACAGACTGTTGCTATACCATACATTATTTATATATTTATTATGTTTAGGTTAAACATGTTATTATTGTTTTGTCTTACTTTTTTGTATTTTCTCTTGCAGAATGACACAGTGACCATCAGAACCAGGAAGTTCATGACAAACAGACTGCTTCAGCGCAAGCAGATGGTAAAAGAATACACAAAATTGCCTTTAATTATTTGTCTGTTGGTTCTGGGCAGCATGTGTTCTTTAGCCATTATAAGTAAGGGACCCTGAAAACCTTCAGAGCTCTTGTTGTAAGCACTTATAGATTTAAATGCGTTGATGTATGGTAAAGGTAAATCTTGATGGTGAGGTAGTGAGCTGTTTTGTCTTTTGAAGCAGGAAACTTATGGACATTTCTATATTGAATTAATAATACTTTCTGTTGTTAAGGTGGGTTAGTTTAAGTGTTAAGCTCATGGTGGGACTGTAGCATGTGATTGTTGTACTGGAAGTTGACTTTTTTGTCTTTCAACACTTTGTAAAAATTTGTTCTTAGGTGATTGATGTTCTTCATCCTGGGAAGGCCACAGTCCCCAAAACAGAAATCAGGGAAAAGCTGGCAAAAATGTACAAGACAACCCCTGATGTAATTTTCGTCTTTGGCTTCAGAACTCACTTCGGTGGTGGCAAGACAACAGGTTTTGGCATGATCTATGATTCTTTGGACTATGCAAAGAAAAACGAACCAAAGCACAGGCTTGCCAGGGTAGGTTGTTTTCTGGTGACTTGAAAACAATTAAGATGGATTTGAAGTGTTTAGCGGTTCATGATTTACATGTACAAAAGCGAAGGTTTTAAGAAAGTACTGTTGGTGTACTTAGTTACATAAGAGGTCTTAAAATAGTATAGGCTAGCTTCTGCATTTGCAAAATAGGGTAAGGTTTTTTTTTCTTGTTTATTATAGGGGAATTGCGAAGGCAAAATTGATGTTACCAGTGATGTTTAGCATTAACAGATAACTAACCGCTATTAAAGGTCTTAAATAAGCATAAGAGATGAAACTGATGTATACATTACTTCAGTGCTTATATTCTGCGTTGAATCGTTCATTGACTAGTGAACTTGTCTCACTACTTAGCTAATATTTCAAATTTAAACAGTATTTGAAGAGTCCAGAAATAGTAAAACTTAAATTCAGACATTACTATCAGTGAAACAAAGTTAAATGCAGCTTTAACTCTTTTTTAATAGCATGGCTTGTATGAAAAGAAGAAGACTTCTAGGAAGCAGCGAAAGGAGCGTAAGAACAGAATGAAGAAAGTCAGGGGCACAGCCAAGGCAAATGTTGGTGCTGGCAAGAAGGTAGGATGAGAATATCTGTAAGCTAGAGTGAGCATGTTGCCTTTGAAATGTTGATTAGAAATTCTTCAACAGAATAACATTGTTTTTCTTCCGTTTCTTTCACCTGTTCTGCTGGATAACAGAAGGTAATCTGTGTGGTGTTGTATAGCTTCTTAGCAGCTCAGTAGCTTAGTTTTGCTCCTCACTGCTGCAAGCTTAGCTGATACAATGTAAACCAATGCTTCTTAAATGATTGTTTTCTACATGTCACTTGAACTAAAGTTGAACTTTTGTAGATCTAACAGTATTGCTCTAATCTCATAACTCAGCCTTGCAATGTACAAATTAGATATTCTTAACACTTGTTACTCAGACTAGCTAAATATCTAATGCTTACTCCACCAAGTTACTGTTATTTATGGTGTTATTTATAGAGGAGACTTTTGTTAAGGATGTGTGGTGGTGTAGGCAGTGAGGGCAGTGTGTAAATAGAAATAAGGTAGAATACCTGCTTTATCCTGCTTTTAAGTGACTGATTCCCAAGATAGTGGTCTTGTTTCCTCTGGTGGGAGCTGCTTATGCTGTGGCTGGAACTTGATACAAGCTTGTTAGGTGTGCAGCTTGGAGGGAGACAGACTTCCTCTACCATTGAACAAAAAAACACACCAGAACTGAGGAATAACGTGGGTGTGGTGAAGGCAGTCATCTTCTGTAGCAGCTTTTTGCCTTCTGAAAAATACTGAGTAAGCTGTGCAGCTAAGTGGTTTTTTCAGGTGTTTTAAGAAGATAAGATAGGGTGATGGGTTTTGACACTTAGCTCTAGCTGCCAAAGTGCTTTAACATCTTGAACTTTAGTAATCTTCACTTTTGCTTTTTTTTCTACTTTCTTGGAATTCTTCATCAGAAGTGAAGTATCTAGCAGGTACTGAAAACGAGCATGGATGTGGTGACTGAATTACACATCATTGAAACATGTCCATTCTTCTAATTGAAGCACTGTACTGCCTTGCATGCATGCATGTTTGTTTTAAACTTGCTTCTGTCCTGTAAGGGTTCAGATAACTACATAATGAACTTCGTCATGTGACTTAGAAATAAAATTTGGCTAATAGTGAACAAGATTTTTGAAACTAGTGAAACAACATTAAAATAAGGAATTCCAAATGAGAAGAAATCAAACTCAATGCTACTGGTTTGAGGCATTGGTTCAAAACGCTCCAGGTTCTGATTCAAGGTAGTACAATGTAATTGCATGTGTAAGTTGACCTTTGTGTGAAAGTAGTTGTGCATCTTTACAAAAACTTAAGTCACATCGCAGCTTTGTGCTTTTGAGATGGTGGTTGGAAATTACATAGTTGTCAGCATTAAACTGTATTTAACTATTGCCCTGCAGTATTCCAAGTTAGGACACAAGCCACAGTGGTTGCTCTGTGAAATTAGATTCTTCACTTACTGTGTAAGTGAAGTTCTTGTTTTCATTGGATGGAAATAAACTAGTGTTGCTGTGAACTACTAGATAAGACTTGGAGCCCTTTTCCTTTCTGCTTTAATGTTGTTTTAATAATAAAGTCCTACAGTTGTTTACAGTGTAACAGCACAAATTAGCATTTGGTATAGTAGAAACACTAACATACACCCTCTTGTGAAGGTCAAGGGAGTCACTTAGTGTTGCACTGATACCAGTAGTATGGATGAACTTCCCTTCAAGAATTTAGCACTTGAAGGTAGCTGTTATTTAATGTTCATAAAAGATGGTTAAATGACTGTCACTTGAATTACTAAAGCTGTCCAGTTCATAGAAATTCTTTTAAAGCACATAAACGCTTTAGAAATCAAGACCAGGATTGTGTGCTGTGATAATTATACAGCAGATGTGACTTCTGTATCAAGTGCTTCTCAAACTAACATGTAATCTCAATAGTAGGTGAACAGTGTTTTGGATTAGAGGTTTTTTAATGTCTTTTAAAATTATCTTTTAGTTGATAAGTAAGCATGGGTTAGATCTTACTTGTTCACCAGTTTTGTTAGTCTTTGTGTCCTCACATTAGACTTAAACTAAAGACAAATTAACTTATGTGCTTTCTGGAAAACTGTTGAGAAGAGTTCTGTGCTGCATCACAGAAAAAAGCTTGCAGAATACACTTGTGTCTTAAGGCTTTGTCTTGAAAAATGCATGTATAAACATAATGGTGTGGCATGGTTCAACATCCTTTATTGCAGCCATGTGGGAATTTTTAATAGGAGTCCTGGAGTATGTTTTGGAGTCTACCTACACAATCTGTGAAAACTGTTTATTTCAGAAATGTGTAGGCACTTGATTCTGAGATATCTTCAGGGAAGTCGGTATTGTTCTAAGAGTTATGAACCATGTAGTCATGAAAACTATTAAACTATTGAAATGGTGAATCATACTTGAATATTTTTTTTCTTGAACTTTTAAGTCAGACATCAACTATGCTGATGTCTGACGTTAAAAGTTTTCTTTGGTGCTTCCTTTCACTTCTCACTCCTTCAGAATTCCCATTCTGTTTTCCCTGCAGTTTCAAGAGAAGTATTTTAAAGTAATTTGTGTTATTTAATATATTCTGTAGCTCTGTAGTTAGCTGAGCTCGCGTAAAAGTTTGCAACAAGTATATGTGGATGCCCCTTACCTAGTATTTGCATTTGGAGCAAATATAACAAATGTCTTTTAAAAAAACTTGATCAAACAGAAGTATGGATGGATAGGCACTTTAAACTGTTGTAGCCTGTAGGTATAATTGAACATGCAATTGCATTCTGAGTATTACTTAAGCTCTAAACAGTTATTGTTAGGTCCCATTTGAGTTCGAGGGAATGCATGAAATCTAAGTCTTCAGCTTCTACAGTAGTCAAAACATTAAGGTTTTTGTATCACATTTCATTGTGGTAATTGAAAAAAAGCACATTGTGAACATCAGTAAGAAGCCTCAAAGCTCCATCTTCTACAGTAGTAGAACCTTGATCAAACTGTTCTCTTACTAATTAATGCTTTTTCTTTTTCAGTAAATGAACATACTTCAGGTGGAAAATGGATAACAGGTATGACTTTAGAACACTTTGTAATGGTAGACATTCAGTAGTCTGTAGTCATTATGATGACGTAGGTTTAATGTTGATTTAAGCGAAGACCATAGTACTGTGCTGATGTAGAACCCAGTGCAAGAGTTTAAGACTAAGACAGACTGTTGTGCTTACTATTGAGTTGCTAATTTATGTGTCTTTGGCTTACATGAAGTACCTGATTAGTATAAAGACTGAAAAAATAAATCAGGTGGTTCAGATTTACTGTTGCTAAAACTGTTGATTATTTAGTCTTATGGTAAACGAGGCTTACATTTTTCCTTTTATAGATATGCTAAGGAGAGGATAGTATACCTTGGTTTTTATTGTATTGATTGAAGTAGTATGCTTTCTATGTTGAGGATGAATTTCTGTTGTGTTCTTATAGATACTTATTTTAAGTAAATTCCTTATAAACAAGCCTGATACTCTTTTAGACAAGTCCTAGACTATATTTATATACCTTTGCTGCAGAAACATAAGTGAATTGGATGCGCTGTGGGCAGTAATTGTTACAGACAAAACTCTGGTTTTATTACAAATGGTCTGAATGACTCATTTTAAAGCAACTTAAACAGTCTGTCTGGGAGCTGATGTAGCGAGTGTAATGTCTTAAGCAGGAAGCTGGTAAAGCAATTGTAGCTTGTTGAGCTCTTCTACAGAAATTGTGTAATCTAGGCTCTCATTTATTCTCATGACAGTACTGTGAAATTTTGAACCTTATATTCTTCTAAGAAAGGCAGTGTGGTTCACCTGACTTGTTTGGGAACCAGTTTTTCAGGCTCTATAAAGGTATGAGTATAAAAGTTGTTTTAATCATGTGGCACTGATCTATCTTTTCCTTTACAGGCTACATTATTCTATGAAGAGGTATAGAAATAATTATTCTGGAAAGAAGCTGCTCGTCTGGCTTTAACATCAAATAAACTATGTCAATAAAATGCTGGTTTGCCCTTTAGTTTTGATTTGATAGCTACCGTTTTGTAAAGTTTGAGAAATTCAAGATTGTTGGTGCACTGTTTGCACTGAATTAAAATGTTTTCATAATTAAACAACTCTTATTTTGAGTATCAATTTGAAGTGAATCACAGCTTTCTATGGATAGTAGTGTAACCTAATTCCAAGCAGGCAGTGTTAGTTCATGGAGGTAGGCATGCTTTTGTCATCTGGTGTTCAACCTGTTTTGGAAAGTCCTTTTAAGATGTTCTTGTTTGACTGCCTATGTTATATAGACCTGTAAACATAGCTGAAGGGAGAACACAGCATGTAGACAAGAGATATTCAGAGCTGCATACGTCCACAGTTAAGGTTTTTGCTAATGGAGTCAGGCAGGACTTGTCTTTTATTCCTGAGTTGTCAGGACAGGCTATGGGGTCTGTCTCTGGTCTGCAAACTGTGTAGTACACCCCTAATTTTTCATCTGGTAGTGTTAGAGTCAGTTAAGATTGGATTAGTGGCTGGATGAGGCATGCTCTATGCTAGAGGCGTGGGTGGTCTGGTACAGATGTTTTGAGTACCAAGCAAATAGAAGTTTTGTACTTTAAATAGGACTGGAACAGACTGGGCAGCTCTAGCAGCTGTGCTGATAAGGCTCTGACTTGTTTATCTAGGTACAGTATTTTTAAATTGTACTGCCTTTGTGCTGAGGCAGCATATTTTAACACAGGTAAGGCATTTTTAGTATTTGGGGGGAAAACCCAACAACACTATAGTTGTTAAAGTGGTTGGAAGGGGATACTGTTCTAATAACTTCCATACAAGATCTGGTAAGTATAGATAAAGTACTTTGTCTGTTCTTGTACCTTCAGTGTGAGTCTTGAACTAGTGGGGTTGCTATTGTCTGCATCCAGCAGCCTCGCACTCTTAGCTTTGCAGTAAATTTTCTGTACCTCATGTTATAGTGTTTCTGCCTTTATTGAGGTTAGTAACTGGGATTAGTAGGCAGTTGTCCTGGTGAAAGGATAGGTATCATAGAATGTCCTGAGTTGGAAGGGACCCACAAGGATCATCCAGTCCAACTCCTGTCCCTAGGACAGCCCCAAAATTCACACCGTATGTCTGAGGGTGTTGTCCAAATGCTTCTTGAATATTGTCAGGCTTGGTGCTGTAACTACCTCCCGGGGGAGCCTGTTCCAGTGCTCCACCACCCTTTGGGTGAAGAACCTTTTCCTAATATCCAACCTAAACCTCTCCTGGCATATCTTCCTGCTGTTCCCTTGGGTCCTATCATTGGTTGCCAGGGAGAAGAGATCAGCACCTGCCCCTCCTTCCCTCATGAGGAAGCTGTAGGCTGTGATGAGGTCTTCCCTCAGTCCCCTCCAGGTTGAACAGACCAAGTGATTTCAGCTGCTCCTCGTACGGCTTCCCCTCTAAACCCTTCACCATCTTTGTGGCTCTCCTCTGGACACTCTCCAGTAGCTTCGTATCCTTTTTGTACTGTGGCGCCAAAACTGCACACAGTACTCAAGATGAGGCCGCACCAGCGTGGAGTGGAGCGGGAGAATCGCCTCCCTCCAGGTACTCCACTTTCTTGTAAACACAGGTGAACTAGTGATGTTAGACTAAGGGGATGGTGAAATGGAGTAAATGCTTCTAAAATAAGTTTTGATTCCGAAGTCCTGTGGAAGTTAAAAGGCTTTTCTATTTGGCAGACAGACCTTCAAAGATAGGTACCTATTGAATGTTCTTCCCAAAGGTTTTAAGTGTACTAAATTCTGAAGAATTGCTAGAGGAATATTAAAAGTGGGATTTGTGTTGCTACTTAGATACAGTATACGCACTGAGCTCTGGAGTCTGTAGATAAGTTTTGAATAGGTGACAGTAAATTTCTGACAACCAAGAAGATTGTAAGGGATATGGAGCAAATGTTACACATGTAAGGCTTAGAGCTAGAACCTAAACCTGTTTTAAAGGTAATACTTATAGTAAACCCTTTCTGTATATAATGTTCAACAACAAAGGAGAGGAGAGTCATGCTATTAAATATAATTGAACAATCACTAGGGGGTAGCGTGAACACAGCAATACAAATACAAGGAAGACTTTTATAGCAATTTTTCATAAAATAGGCTGAAGGGAAGCTGAATTGTCCCCTGTCAGAGGTCAACTCCTTTGAAAAGGTGCATTGAAAGTAGTTGTGTTCAGGATCTGAGGCTTTAAGTGATATTTTTGTTTCACTGGTTCCTTTTTGAATTGAATGGAAACCATCTGTTTCAGTGAAGACCATACAGTTAGTGTTTTCCAAATGTTTACTACTACAAAGCTCTAGAGTGCTAGCACAAATGCTAGTTGCTCTTTTCGGAAGCCTTCTTACCTTAGTTTTAAACAATCAACAAAGGATTTATAAATAAGTGCTGGCATAAAGGTATATGTCTTGCATAGTCTTGATGATTTGACTTTACATAAACAGCCCTGTTCCAGGCGACATGTACCTCTTGAAGCAGAACTTAGTTCTGTAGTTGGAATATTAAAGGTTCCCTTCTCAATTTTGTAATGTCTTAAGTGCTTTTCATTACAGGCTCATTTATGAGGCACAGTAACTTTTCAAAGCAGATGGATTGAAATGGGCTGTCTTGCTGCTTGATGCCAAAATTTGGTATTTGATGCCCCATTTTGATGATTTAAGATTGGCAGCAAAAAATACCTAGTGATTCCAAAGAACTGACTCTTTCCTTGTTGCATGGTTAGGTTATAACCACACACCCATAAGCTGTACTCTTGTCTTGCAATATGAGACATTAAACACAAAAAATGGGGAAGGGGACAAAATGACATGAAATGATCTAGAATTAACTGATCAAATCAGATCGCCCTATTTGAGTTTGCCTGCTGTTCTGCAGCATTCTGTGTTGATGTGGCTGCCCTTTTCCCCTATTGTTCCACCTGGAAAATGGCGGGCAGCTGAATAGCTGTCATCTGAAATCTTGGTGCTTCAACAGTCTGGAGATATAAGCAGCTCTTCGTGTGAGTTTCTGTTCTGCCAACGTTTTGCCCTTACACTAGAGCCTAAGCAATGAGTAGTGGATGTTCTGTCATTGAGAAGTTTAATGCACATATCATGCTGTGAAGAGACTCTAGGTTAATCCCCTTTCCTGTGGGAGGTAAAACAATTAAGTGGGAAGCATTGATGAACAGGAATCTTCACTCCTTTCCCCACTGTGTGCTGCAGGTACCCTTTTATTTGCTGCTGATCTTGGCACATCCCATCATCTATAGGTAGCAGTTTTTGTCACTGTTGCCTGCTTTTAGACTTTGGCCTGGCCCTCATATTTCAGTATATAAAGTGTTTTTTTTCTATTCGATGACTAGTCTGGAGCCCAAATTAGACTGCGAAGGATTCTTGGAGAAGGAACTTCTAAATTAAACTGTTGATGTGTAATCTCAAATTTATATACCTGGAAAGACTTTCATTAACTCTTTACCATTGTTAATGGCTAGGACTTGTTTCAGTTGTCTGGTTTTTACAAGGGATATAATTATCACAGAAACTGGATTTTTTTTTTGTAGTAAGGACTCAAAATTGTACACCTGGGCTAGTAAGAGTAAACCAAGTCTTCCTGTGAAATACTTGAAAAGCTGTGTAGAAGCCTGAGGGCTTGACTTAATTGAAACTGGATCAAGCAGTCCAGCTTCTTGCTGAGGTTCCACCTCTATGTTCAGTGAAATATATGAGGCACAGCCAGATAACGGTGGCTTCTGTCTGAAGGAGATTGTAGTCTAGAAGGCAAAAAACAAAGTGCAGTGGATGAAAGAAAGATTTACCAGGGAAGCAGAGTCTGTTTGGAGGAGCAGAGATTAGTGTATTGACATCATAGAAAAAGCTAACAACTGATACAGATGAAAGATGGTAAAATTTGGCATCACCTGGGCAATGAGGTGGTTTTGTCTAGGGAGCAGCTTGAAACAGGCTTGCGAACAAATGTTGAGGGAAAGAAATGAAGCTGATATCATCAGTGGCTTGAAATAAATGAGGCATAATATGCTATGAGAAGACTGCAGTACCAGTAGGCAGAGGGATAGAAGGGTGATGTGGTTCTTTTTGTTTATAGAAAATGGGTCATTTAAGGAATAAAGTATGCAGGTCACTATTAAATCTGTTTGTAACAGTTGGAAGAAATTAACTTGTCCATATTATTCTGGTCAGTTCCTGTACAAAATTAATTTTAATGTTATTAGTTTCCTACACAGAGGAAACACAACACTGTCCTGTAGCAGCTGTTGATACTAGATTCGTACAGTAAGTTTGAAATTCTAGTTGTGAATGCTCCCTGCTCATGTGCTTCTATTTGAGCAAAACTAGATATATTGAGCCTTCTTTTTGGGTTGATATTTTAGTGGTGCTAAGAGACCAGATGAGAGTAGTTCATTTTTTGCTCTGAATGCTGGAAAAGTTTCCTCTGAGCAGAACTTTCTAATATGGGTGGCAAATGTTTTTGTTCATCATGTTCCTAACACAATAGCAATAAGACTAAGTTATTTCTATGAACACATTTGTGACAATGCCTCTAAGAGGTAAAATGAAAACATTTAAGTAACCTTTGACAAGTCCATGTCAGGAGTAGGCACATCCTAGTACATTAATGCTTTTGGACTCCTTTGCTTTAAAGGATTAAATGGAAATTTGGTCTTACGTTTGTTGCTAACATTTGTGAACTCTAGTTAATGTCTTAAAAAAAATTCCACAGGGCATTTTTTTATCCTCATCTGGAATTCAGTAAGTTTCTTCTTAATTTTAGCCTTTGTTCTTTGTAAAGGCTGTGGCTAATGAAACAGCTGCAAAAGTGGCTAAAAGGCATCCTGTGGGCTAGAAGATAATTGTGTTTTTTCCAAGAGCTGGCCGTCGGCAACCAGGACTGCTAATAAAGCTCCATCTTCCTTTCCAGTGACTGCTGTTCATATACAGAGATCCTAAGTAAGGTCAAGTAGGGTACTGAGGCAGAAGGATATTCCGAGTATCTGTGGCTTCTCTTAACACAGTCCATCTTTTACAATTAGCAAAAGATATGTGAGTACAATGCTTCACTGGGGTAGATGATAACGGTTCGTACTTGCG